TGCTTCATTCAGAAAGCTACATACAAATCTTTGAAAAAAAAAAAAACCCAACATAATATAGGCTAAACCTTCTGCTTTATTTTGTTTCAGCCTACTGTCTGATTCCCACTGTTGACAGCAGTCTTGATTATAGCAATGGATCACAGAAACACAGCGGGTCAGAAGGGAAAAAAGGAAGCCATTCTTTTGATTCTATGGTTTTCAGATCATGTTCACCGTCCTTGGGTCACGCAGACGAGTTTGTCACTCTGATGTCTCCGATTCAGCTTCTCCTACGGCTCCAGAACAGAAAACGCGATATAAAACGAGGAATCCAACATCCCGGCTGCTGTATGGCAGGGGCTGTTTTTCGTCACGCGGCGCTGCTCTTCCACTGCTGTAGGTAATTTATACAAAGCTTTAAGGCCCTTTGTAAAGACCTTCATAGTAAACTGTAGGAAGCCCAGGATAAGCAGATGGGGCTTCGGCTCTTCCAACTTTGAAGTGAGAATGTGAAGAATCTCTCCCCTCCTTTCTCACAACATGCTTCAGCTGTCCTTCTCCTTCAGCAAGACACCACAACCAGCCAGCTGGACTCCAGGAATGCCGTAGCAAAGGACTTGGTTTCCTTCTAGTGACAAAAGCGGCCGCCTAATACGCTCCGGATTAAAAACAACAGTGGCTACCATGGCAGATGAAAACTCGCTGATTGGGTGGGCCTGGAGAGCCGGGCGGCGCTGACTTCAGAAGTTCTTCCTTCCCCCCCCGGCCACAGCCAAGGGTTTCAAGGTTGTTGAGCCCAGAGCAAGGACGCAGACTCCGCAGCAGCACGGGGAGACAGCTTGTCGTGGGCAGCCGGCTGTCCTAATTCTCACCCCCCCCTTCCCCGTCACCTCCTTCCTGTTCCACTTCTTCTGACTTTGTCATTTATTTCCCAGTGGGTGGGGCGCAGCACAGAATTTGATACCCAAACCAAACAAAAGTTGTCTTCGGTTTGGCTAGGTCTCTCTTCTTCTGGGGGGGGGACTGCTTTCTATTTAATTGTTTCAGAAACATCGTCAGGTTAGGGGGGCTGCACGTCAGGGGTGGTTGATGTGGGTTCCCCTCCTGTACGGAGTTCTCTTTGGGATCCTTTTAGATGAAAAGCACCACGTAAAAGCAAGTAATTATTATTCGGACTATTACTGTAGCACTGCACCTGAATAATGAGTGTTGAACCTTCATATTTACATGTCCAAAGGTACAAAAAGGACAGCTAATCCCCCAGAGGAAATAAACTCCAAATATTTACCTCCAGTGCAGTCGTTAAACTTTTTTTTTCCCCCCAGATAAGCTTAAGCTTCATTACTGCCATACGTTTCCATTTGCTGATAAGGCAAGAGGAGTTATTTTGGAAATGCAACTTGCTGTACAAGCCAATGTTAGTTTAATCCATTTCTGGAAGTGATCTGCGGACTTTAATTAAACGTGGAGCTTCCAGTATGTTCGGTTACTCGCACTTTGGAAACTTTAGGTTTGGATTTGGGAGATAAATATTTTGTTTATTACTTAGATTAAAATGCCAGTTTGAAAAAATGCATAGACAATCATATTGCTTAAAGAGCTGTGATAGACAAGTCTCAATAATGCACTTCTATTCTTATTTGGTCATTTATGTAACTGGCTCTCACCCAACATTTCAATCAAAATAAACCCAGGTCAACACGAATGTTTGAAATTGTGTGATTTATTACAGATGACAACTGCTTTCCTTCTGGAATTGCTGGAGCCCATTTTTTTTTTACAGTTTGGTGGAATTGTTTATGTGTAAATCACAGTTTCTACAGTACATCTTAACATAAGATAAATAACCCTTTTACCATTTTCCGGGGACATAATTTCAAATCCTCCTCCCATTTAAAATACACTGCTGTACAATTCAGCATGAGAAGAATCGTTAAACGGTCAGAAGTTGAAAGATGCATTCATTTGTCCTGAGATTAGTATAATTTCTTTTTTTTTTCCTAATCTGGAAATTATACCTAATCCTAATCTGTTAGGATTCATTTGAAAGGCAAACATACAGACATACCCAACAGCAAATGTGAACACTTCTTAATAGTATTTCCAGGTCACACCCACGCAGGTCATCCATATATCTCCTAGCTGACTGATTTTACAGAGAAAAACAATCAAATAAAAGACAAAGTTGTAAAGTCAAAGATATCATTTAAAAGGCGTTTGTTTGCCAGTAACATTGGTTGACTTTTATTAGAAAGAGGACCAAATGCTAAAGCGACTCAATACAGTGCACTAATAAAGCCAATCTTCAGGCAGATCAAACAAGCTTCACCGCTGTGGTATCGAGGTGCCGCAGTGGTGCAGTGGTCTAGTTGCTCTGCCTGCACTGTTGTTTTTTTTTAACAAAAAGCCCTGGTGACAAGTTTCATCCTTACATTTAAAAATGTGTTCCTGAAGATTTGTTGCCATTACTTCTATTGTGCTCAGTCATTTTAGGAAATTACGCTAATAGGATATGACCAAAGGCTTGGCATGTTATTCAAAACTGCCAATATTTAGATCACTCAGCATTCGTATGCCAGAAATAGATGTGAATGTCACCTTGGCGGATTGAAACGTGTCCATAAACCTCTGGGAACCACTTTAACCCCTGTCTGACATTATGCTTTTTACCCTGCAGGTCGCTCAAGGGTTTCTCCATCTTGTACCCCAAAATCACCATTGACTCCTACAGCACAGTTCCGTAGTCAGCCATTTACACAAGGCAACAGTTATAGAGCCAGATAAATGGCTTTAACTCTTTCACCCTCATCCTTACTCCCCTGTTCTTCATGATCACTTTCAATTGAAGCGCCATCAGGACGTCTGCTGCCACCACTGCCCACCACCTCTGTTGTTTTCTTTAAGGCAGTAGAGCTGGTTTCTCTCTGCTCTGCTGCTGGACTGCATAGAAATCTACAGTATGCTCCTTTGCACCAATGGATAAGGCTCCTATCTATCGGACAGCTTCCCTGGAACATAGGCAGAGCACTACAGGCCCCAAAACAGCTGAAAGCTCTGGTTGTTTTGGCAGGCAGATAACATAAGCACATCTAGTAACAGTTTGGTTTGCATCTGCTCTTTGAAGTCTAGAACAGCTTGCAGGGTGTAAGAACATTGCAGCCCAAACCTCTCACAGGAGAGCTTTCCTCTCTCACACCCTGGCAACCACACAATGCCTCCTTTTTCCAAAACTTGTATAGATCTCTCCACCTCCGGTACATCTTCCATGTTTAGGAGGAGTGTAACTGCAGTTTGCTCTGAATGCCAATGCAAGGTATAAACACAATCTTTGTTCTTCATGGAACAAATCCTGAAAAAAACGAGGAGCGAATGAGTATTGTTGTTTTTTGAGGCAAAAATGTTCTTTGTGCATACTGCAAAGTTGTTTTTCTTCAGACGTAAACACTGTAGATACAGAACCTGCAATAACAGACTGGTTTGCTAGGTGAACAGGGTGTGCTGTTTTCAAAATGCTCCCTGCTTTTTCATGTCATTTATGCAGCAGTTTGATGTCAAAGAGTACAAATCTCTTTATCAAACAAAAAGGACAGACTTGAGGGAATTAATACTGGAATGTACTTACGCACTGAGCTGGTTCATTCATTACAGTTTTAACTGACAGCATCTACTTAGTGACAGAAAGAATCTTCTGATCAAAAATAGCCGGCGTGCTGTGTTTCTATGCAAAATGCATCTGATTTTTTTTATTTTCCCCTCAAAACAGACAGGATATTAATGTTAATGAAGCCCCAGTACCTTTGCCAGCAGCACACTCTTTCACAGTTCTTTCTGTCTAATACGGTAATTGCTTTCTTCAAATTTTTCAACACCACCAGTGATCCATAGTACAACTATAAATGATCTCTGCTCTTTTTTACTGAAACCAAATTGATTTTTTGGCTATTAAAGAAGGGGGGGGGGGTACTTTAATGTTTTATTCTTTACAATCAGTTTTTATTTTTTACAAAAATAGTATTTTCTTATGTAAGCTTGCTGTTCCAGCTGGGATTCCTCTTACCAGCTGGGATACGGGTTCGAACAGATCTCTTTTCTCCATTCTGGCAGATTACACTGCAGAAGGCTGTTTTTTTTTTCTGCCTGTCCAGACTCTCATGTAATCCTTTCAGCATTTATTTTGTAAGTCTGTATCCTATTGAGTCACGGGAAGGCTGAAACATCTCAGTATAGGCTACGATAAACTTGGGCACTGCCTGCAGTGATTGATCTAGCCTTGCCATTCTCAGAGTGGGAGACTGTCTCGCATTTGATCTGAGAGAATTCTGTTCTTTTAACCTCTCAGTCGAAATCTGGAAATCAAACTGGTATCTCCAGCTCTTCATCCTGCTCTGCAAAACAAGGCTGTCCAGTTGTATATGTTGACAAGCAAAGCCATTAGCAAATTAAGTCTGCATTAGCATCTTCTTTACTCTTAGTTTTGTTTCCATGGTTCATACTGTGATTGTTCTGAAGCAGCAGGGCTGCTGACTGTATTTCCAGGGCTATGGAATCCTGGGTATTGTTCTGCACTTGCCCTATTCTTTTATTTATAAACTATGAGAAACTAGGCTATGTATGTCATTTTAAACATGATGCTCAGTCTCGAGCTGTTGCCATAGCTACCAATTAAACCACATCATCCACTAGAAAGCATTCTATTAGGTTTCCAACGTTTGGGGTTTTTTTTAAATTAAAAAAAAAGGGCAAATTGAATTTCAGAATCTCTGCCAGAGGAATCTGAATAAGCTGGAGTGTGTGGAATACCCTCAGAACTGTCACGTGTCCTCTTTGGAAGATGAGAGGGTGGCATATCGATGAGTGACAGAGCTCCTGCATGCTCCAGAACTGCTCTCCCGCTTTTCACTCGCTGCGGAATCACAGATCGGAGACGATCAGGTCAAAGCATGTTAATGGATTTCCCAAGCTGATAATGGGGGTGGGGGATGGGGGGGGGGATGAAGGTTTGTAATACACTGACTCACTGTGGGATAAGTGATGGGCTCCTTGTCAAGAGCGTTTCCAGAAGAGATGTACTCACACGCACGCCAGTACGGGCGAGCGGCATTATCGCGCCGAGCCACGGCGCACCAGACAAGCGAGAAGGGGTCTGGTCTTCAAACGGGGAGGTGACAGACCGTCCTGCCTGCCACATGGAAACGCCAGAGCTGCGCAAACAGGAGAAGCTGTCAAGCCCCAGACCACTCAAGGAAAAACAAAATGAAACAGTGCAATCCATCTCAAATGAATCTGAGCAAGAGTTTGGCTGCTCTGGCCAGACTGAGGCAGTTGCAGGTTTTGTTGCTGTAGGACAATTGGGAAACTCAAGGTATTTTTACACTTCCCTCCTGAAGGATACCCCCAGAATAGCATTCCCTCCGAGCAGAAAGAAAAATCTAGACAGCAAGAGAGAGGCAAACTAACCCCTTGAAATACCGAATTGTCCTGTTTTCTGAACTTACATGGAAATACTGTATAAGATAGCTCATAGCAATTCATCGGACAATTTTTTTGTGTGCTTTTCCTGTAACATTTGATTCCCCAGAAATCTCCCAGAACATGCAGATGTCCTTTAGGTAGTGGCATCGCTTTTATGACTCATTTTTATTTTATCTCGAAAGGCTGTTACCTGGCGATAAGGGACAGATGCGAAGCTTTTAAATATCAGCCACCTTCCTTTAATAATGAAGCTAAATCAAATGCCACCGTCTTGTGGTATTTGTTTTCAAATCAATCAACCGGCGAATCAAGGATAATTTGCATGAGGTCACTTGGCAAATGTGATGGGAGTCTTTTTTTTCCTGGTGCGTATTTCGGCGGAGACCTTCATGCAGAGCAATTATACAGGGACTGGGAAGAAGCACTGGGAAAAGGTCAGCAGAAGTTCAAACCAGTCCTCTGGGAACCAGGCAAGGAAAGGGAGAGCTGCTGGTTTCTGCTGATAATTATACTGAAACCACTACTTTGTTCCCTTATTATCTCACTAAAAAAACAGAGAAAGATGTCATTTAAGATCACCCGAACAGCTTCTTAAGAATATTTCAGGAATTGCTAAATGAGAGAACAGAAGACTGGAACAGCTGCCAAAAGCAAGCAATTCTCCTTCCTGGCCCTGATTTAAAGGACAAAGACTTCTACGGTAATATGGTCTGTAGAGTAACCCCATAAAAAAGCTGGTTACATACTTCAAGAAATTCAGGGGTCACAAAACAAAAAAATTATGGAAGGAGATGGATTCATGTAGCGTGAAAAAAGCACTAAAGAAACTAACTGCACTGAACATCTCATACAGCTTGAGTCACCTATGACGGCCCACTAAAGCAGGAAAACATGTTCCAGATTTTTGGGAATGTTGTGGGAAATTGAAAACAATGTTCTCTTCTCTTGCTGGTCAATCAGCTCTGAGGGGAAACTTGATGCTGGAAATGTAACTCTCTGAACTTCTCAAAAGAATGATCATTACTTTTTATATACAAGAAACAGGCCCAAACAAAGATTACACTCGTTAGTGTACTTTTACTACTGCGGTTATGTTAACCGCACACAAATTCTCCCTTTTTCTTCATCGTAATAGTGTGTTACCTGGTGCCAAACTATTGTTTCCATGCAAGGAGGCTGTGTCTAGAGAGGAACTGGAATCCTGCTCAAGAGATAACCACCCTCTCAGCACGAAACAGAATGCAAAACGTCCTGGAAAAAAAAAGTAAGAAACAGAAAGACTAGCTTAAGCAATGAGGAATGTAATCCTACTGGTTTAAGTTATTACATGCTTGAAATTCTGCTTCTTTAATAAATGCAAGGAAATAATTGGTCCAACTACTTAACGAACAGCTCAGCTAGAATTAAACTCTCAAGTCTAAACAGAAAGTGTGTTATTTCAGGGGACATGAACAAGTACTCTATTGATTACGGATCCAGAGTCACAACCACTGTCCCTGGCCCTTCTACTGTATGGATTTCTGCCTTGTGCAATACAGTATGTTCCCTTAACTGGTCCACTGAGGAGTAAGTACCCTATTTGATTTCACCTTAAACTGAGCAATGTTTCAACAATAGCATGACAGTAGCATGGAAGCCTACTGTATATACACACATCCTTGAGGAAGAACAAACAATGTTAGTGGTGACTTCACAAATGGCTGTGATGACTGATGTTTTTGAAAAAAATGTGCCTTGTGCCTATGTGATGAAAAACTACATGACTGCAAAGCCCATGAACAGTTTATGAGACAGTTTTCTGCTCAGGAGGTCTTGTATCTTGACAGAACAATGTGCTGATTGATTTTGCAGCCCCAGGACCGCGTGTACTGTATGTGATGATCTTTGAGATGTACACCAGCAACATGGAGGAGATCAAGAGGGACATTTATTGTTTTAAATTGAAGGAACATCAGGTCACTACAATGCTAGAGCAGAAAGCCCATAATCTTGAAAAGCTCATATAATACAATTAAAGGCTCGTTACACATGGAGGTACAAGTGAACAACAAATGAGTTAGAAATGAGTTAGAATCAGGCTATTCCACAGCCTGTTGCTGTTATGTTGTATGTTAACAAGACAGATATCAAGTCTACTCTATGAGTAGTGAGTAATACGCTGCCCATCCAATGCACAAGCAAACACTGTTCTATCACATTTTCAAAGACCAGACTCTCAGAGCCCTGTATTGCAAATGCCCTGGTTTAAAACGCTGGTTTCAAGTCTGTGCTGAGGAACTGTGTGGTTACTTTTATTTGTTGCTTGAATGAAAATCGTTATGATGGCTTCACATATTCTTTTAATAAAGCATATACAGAAATAACCTGGTAAAAGTAAAACAGGTCATGATGTGGAACCGGGGTATCAAGCTCTGGTCTTTAAGGGATGCTGGGATCTCCAAGCTGTCATTTCAAGTTAAGCTCTCCACTAACTAATTGATCTAACTGTTGGGTTGGTGAGGCATATTTAAAATTCCTTGCAGGATCTCTTTATTTCAGTTCTCAGCAGCTTTAAATCCAGAATCTGTAATGGCATTCTACTAGTACCCTATATAGTTTGTTCAAACCCAAATAAATCAAAGAAGATGAGTAAATTAGAGTGATCCACCTTGGACAAGAGAATGACCCCCCCCCCCCCATCCAGAAGAACAGGACTGTCAGTACTCCTTCCCCCCCTTAATGAAGAATTTTATAAAACTCCATCAAGAAGTTCAGATACTGTTAACTAAACTCTTCCAGCAGTCAATCGAGATAGGGTTAGCAGCCATCAACTGCTAAAACTGATAATGTACACCTAGAAGAAGGGTGCCAAACTGGAACCAGGTAATTATAGATTATGTCTTACTTTTACTAGACACAAGAATATGGAAATGATAATAGGAACAAGCCCAGAGGTCCTGTTCAACTAATCTGTTAGGGTTTTTTTAACCCGTAATTGAAAACAAATGGGGGATTAACAAAACCCGCTGAAGCTGAGAAACAAACACCCGGCAGATGACATGTAATGCAGACAAGTGAGGAGTTTAACTTGCAGGTAACAGAAACAAACTCTCCATTTAAAAAGGGTAAAACGCTGAGGGTGAGAAATGTTTGCGTAAGTGTTAAGTGTTGTTTAGCGTTTACATCTTCAAAACAATGTGGAGGAGCACTCTAAAATGAGAAACATATTAGGATGTATAGTTGAAAGTGTAGAATTTACTTCAAGGCGTGTTATGTTAAAATTTCGGAATGCATGAGTTAGGCCTCATTTAGTGTATCATGTAAAATTTTGGTCACCACCTTACAAGAATAGATGCTCCTGAATTTAAATTGGAGTGCCCTACACTGACAGGCTCAAAGAAACCTAAAGAGTTTCTTACATTCCAAATCCTCAAATTCTTTGACACGGTCAGACCAGTGGGCTTTTAAGGAATCAACAACCCACATGCGGAAACTACAGTGATGGGCATTTAAAATGGAATCCAGAAGCCAAATTTGACACGAGGATCTGGAACGAGCTACGGTACACATCCATGTTGTTGAAGCCAATAGACAGTCTTCTTCATAGAAATGATTGGAAAACATCAATTAGCTCCTGGGAACCAAACTGGCTAGATGGACAAAATGGCCTTTTCTGATAGGAAACCTTTCTTGTGTTCTGTTTTTGCTGGAGTCTCCAACAGTCCCCACTTCTCTTTTTCTCACGGTCTTGGTACCACGTTGTGTTGGTCTTGCGCTCTGGCGCACCATGGCTGCCGTCGCATCATCCAGGTGGGGCTGCACACTGGTGGTGGTGGAGGGGGAGTCCCCATTACCTGTAAAGCGCTTTGAGTGGAGTGTCCAGAAAAGCGCTATATAAGTGTAAGCGATTATTATTATCACTGCCACTGATTGATGTTATTGTGATGTTGAGGCTTCAGTGATGGGAATGATCAGAGAGCTTTTTTGGCTTCCGTCTATCCTGGGTGAAACGAACGTCTTTGGCGAAGTGGTGTCTTCTTATCAGCACACTGATGCTGAAACCTGAACACAGCCACTGCCCCATGAACATTTAACAGCCCGGCGCCTGCAATAACCAAGGAGATGTAGGGTCTCCGAGAGCAGAAGGGACTGACAGAGCTTCTGGTTTACCTGGGAGGGGCATCAGGTGGTGTAATAATAAGGTCCAATTCAAACGGTGCCAGCATGTTCATGAACTCAACTCCCTAGACTCAGGAAGACCATTTTAAAAACAATTTGGGATCATCAGGGCTGCATGGGGAAAAAACGATCAGGATTTTCAGCTTCTATCAAATTCACTCCCACTCGGACGGCGCTGACTGACAGTCCCTCTGAGGGTATTCGGGGACGAGTACAGGACACCGTTGGCTCGATTCGTTTCAACACAAGCTGCAGAGACTCCGAGGAGGCCACCATCAACATATGATGCTTTTTGGCATTTCTTTCCCCTGGTCTTACATCACAGCTACTAAAGAACAACAAGGCAGAGATGCAATCACTGTTGAAGATCACTTACCATGGCCCCTGTTTTGAATTGCTATGGGAACATAATAATAGTTTGTATGTTTATCATCCGTGATGCTGCTGAGTGTTTTCTCTAGCTACGGGAGAGGGGAACACAGTGAGTGAGAAAGCTCCAAACACATCACCGGCTGATAAATGGAAAGGTTATGTACAATTACAGAGAGCAGCACCTGGGAAGAGAAGCATATTTGTCTGATGGGTGTTTAGGTCAATGGATTAATGCAGTATTCCCCAGCATAAATTTAGTCTTGCACTTGCATTTAACCCTTCTTTGATAATATGCGGGCCATTATTAGTGGTGGCTAATTAGCACTGTTGTCTTGCAGCTCTTGGGTTCTGGGCTCAATCATAGCCTGTGGTGATGCTGTATGGCGTTTTTGCACGATCTCCCTCTATATTCAAAAGATCTACATTTCTCCATGTGCTCCAAC